TTCAACTGCTATCAGGCTGTACTTTCACCATTGAACTCACCTGGCCTCTGCTGCTCTCCATGACCCCTTCATGCTTCAAAACCAGTACCATCTGGGTGACTCTTACATTATCAAGTTTATCTGTCAATAAAAGGTACAACCTTGACTACCTCTGGAACATAGTTTCTGGAGCTAACAATTTTAAAGGTGTTGTACATTGGAATGATAATGCTGGGTTTTATAAAATATATATCATTCAACTGTTTATCCTAATTAATTTTGTGAATAACTACTAGAAAGTTTTGAATTTTAAATTCGTGTGCCCTAGGCAACTGGCTTTGTATCATAAATTCTATTATCAGTAGACTTGGAGCTTTCTAACTAAACAAAACTATTGTTATTTGGATAAGAAATTGTTATAAAATATGCCAATTTATTATTTTAATTTTGTTCAGTGCTTATAACCTAATAAGACAACTTAATATATGATTTTTAAAAATACTATAGTACACTTAAACTGGGCAAAAGGTTTTAGAACTCTCAAACCTAACAGCTCTTTAGTATATTGTAAACATAATAATAATTATGATTATGGCTATGATGATGATTATGAACTGGGGAGATGGGTAAGTGGTTGTGAACAAATATTTCTCTTGCAGAAGACCTAGGTTTGCTCCCCAGCACACACATGGAAGGTCCACAGCTGACTGATTGTCTCTCTGTCTGCAAATCATGTCCAGGAGATCAGACAATCTTTTCTGACCTCCATGGGCTCCAGAAAGCATTTGGTGCATATGTATCCATATAGGCACACACTCATAACACATATAAAATGAAATAAAAGAAGGCATGACATTTGGAAGAAGATAGTAGATATGTTGAGGTGATGTGGAAGCTAGAGGCACAAAATGGTAGGATGTGACCAAGATACATTGTATAAAAAAAAAAAAATTGAAATTAAAAAAGGCCAGTTAAGCCTCTTGACAGGTTCTAAACTCCAATTTTATAAATTTCCTCAGTTTGCATTTTCTTCTTACCTGTCTCAAAATTTAGGACACAGACTCATCATAACCACCTGTGTATGCCCCAGTATTGGCTAGGGAACAGAGGGCTCAGTTGCAGGTTTGGAACATGCTGAGTGGAAAATGAAAGAACTCTCAGTTCTGTGATTTGTAATCACACATGGTGCATTACATAATCACGAAGCACCAGCTCGAGTACTGTGGTCCTGCAGTTTCAGAGCAGTGTTATCTTTATGGAGATGGGTTATTCCACTGAAACTTGTTTTTGTGGGGTAGAAAACCACAGAAGGAAACGAATTGAAGGATATATTTTATAAATTAACATTTTATTTTCATATGACTCTCTCTTCAAAGACCCAAAACTACCTGGTGGGCAAGTGTTATCCTTCCTGCATGAATGGGCATGGAGGGCCTGGAAAGATGGTTCAATAGAAAATTGCTTACCTTACAAGAGATCCAGCAGAAGTTTGAATGCTGAGAACCCACATAGAAGCCTGATGTGGTAGTGAACACGTGTAATCTTGGTTCTTCCAAAGAGACATGGAAGGAAGAATCCCAGTATTCACAAACCCTCCAAGGAGACACAAATTTGCCTTAGATTTCTTTGTTCTTTTTTAAAGTTAAATTTTGTATCTCTCCATTAGACTGTTAAAGTTTTTGCAGTAAAATTTTTAGATCTTATTCCTACAAGGTCTAGATGAAGTTCACAGCCTGAGTCCACAAGTCTTTTACCAAAGAACTGTTGTAGTTGTAAAGTATGACTTAACTGTTGACCAGCTCATTTTTACAGATTAGAAACCTGGGTGCAAATAAACTGAGCTGTGAAAGCAATGGGGAGAGGGCCTTGCTGTAACTGCATTCAGGGTCTTTCTTCTCTGTAGACATTTTGTTCTATTTTGGTCACAGTCACTGTATTCCTTCTGTTTAATATGACAGAAATTCAAACTTAAAGTAAAATTAAGACTTTAAAAATTCTCTTTAAACAAGCAGTATTTTCTTGTTTCTATTTGACAGCTTTCGGTAGGAGGTAAATGAACTCTGCTTACAACAGCATTGTGTTACAGTTTCCACCACAGTTTGCTTGTTCTAAAACAGTTATTTAACTCCCTACAAAATAAGCAAGGAATCCTTGATCAGCATTTGTGGGGAAAAAAAAAAAAAGATATCTAAAAAGAGATTTGATATGTCATGACATGTAATAGTGACTGTTTTGTGGCATTCTTTTGAATTTGTGGGAGAATGGGAGTGAATTAAAGATTGCACAAAGGAAGTGATTGTTAGTTGCTAGCCACCAAGGGTGAGCAATTTTGTTCTTCCCTTATTCTCCATGGTCTTGATGCCAAATAGCATTCTCTGCTGCCCTCTAGAGGTTCATCAACCATTATTGCCAATGACGTATAAAGAAATCTATTCAGGTAAGTAAGTAAAGCTTGCAAAAAACAAAACAAAAACAAACAAACAAACAACCTCTTCTCTCTTTCAAGGACAAAGAAAACAGCACATCACTTGGTGAGTCAATTATGTAATCAATTGAAATATTTAGGAAATATGAAACACACATAATTTTATGTATTCATGAAAATGTCTTTTAAATCCAAACTGACAAATTGCCATCTTTTAGATGTGATTTAGCTCATAGGAAATTTTCATTGTGTTTGAATACTCAAACACTGTCCATGTTTTGCTTGTTGACACTAGTGCTGTCAGTGATTTAGCATCCACAATGTATTACCAATGATTTGTGAATTTGCATGTCTTTGGTTCTGTTTCTACTATCTTCAAAATGTTGATCCCATGTTCCTACTCTATGATTTCTTCATGTCTTAATATAGCAACAAATAATTTTGGCAATGATTATTGTATTCCCACTTTTAATAGTGAGAAAACCAAGACACAGATTTGGCGAAAGCATCATGGTCTCAGGCTGCTGAAAGACTGTGTGTGAAACAGAAGCTATATAGACCCAATGTTATTTTTTACACTTACTCATCATGACACCTTGAGAGAGTAGCCATTACTCTCTTAATGGCAGCCACAGGCACTTTATAACCATGTGTAATATTATCACTACCTTTCCCCAAAAGTCATACTCCCTTATGCACCCTCTGTCATTTTTAGTGGTTTTGTCATCTATCAACTAACTGGTCAGGTAGCCTTTGCTTATCTTTCTCCGCTTCCCCTTTGGCCCATACCTGACTACAAACTTTGAGTTATGAACCTTGAGTTCTCAATTGGCCTTCTGCCCTTCCATCATTTTAATGCAGATGCCAATGGCTATTGAGTCCCTAAAACCACACACTCCAGTTCTCTGCTGTTAACTCAGCTCATACCAATGACAGCAGGACTTCCTTCAAGGACCGGTTTAATAATAGCTTAATAACAGCTTTTCTGTTATATGTTTTCTTTTCGCTAATCTCATACCTTTCCTACTCTCCCTGAAAATCTAGTTCCTTCCTCCTCCACAAACTGCTCCCTCTCTCTGTTCCTTCACTCAGTGAGTATCAACTGCATGTTTGTGGTGGGTTCAGGTGACATGTAGGAAAAGAGGAAGTATTTTGGCTGTAAGATTTACAGTGAAATAGAAAGATACACAGACAGAAAATGTGCTCTGTTGAGTACTGTGGGACCATGGAGCACACGAGTCCTCTTTTTCTCTAAGGAAAGGCTCTGGAGTTGGGTGACAGGAGGAATCTGACATCAGAGCATGGGTAAAGGCCTTCCAGACAGACCAGGTACAACCTTGCAAAGGCAGCAGCTTGCAGATGACCCTGGTTAAGGTGACACTGTGCTTTCCTAAGGCATAGAGACAAAGACTAGATATTAAGTGAGTTTAAATAGGACAGAAATTTGAGAGTGTGGAATGAAGAGGGGAAAGTGAGAAACGGGTCATTTTAAGGAAGATTTAATCACTTTTCAGGTTGGGTGGTTTGTACCTATTTGACATTTCAGAACAATCAAGGGATGAAATTTTGCCTGTAAATGTTTTAAAGACAGAGCTGTTTTGCTTATAACACACCTTATGTTAGAGCTCTGCTACTATAACTGAATGCCTAGAAAACCTAGAAGGAAATTTTTGCTTTGGATTATGACTGTGATTATAGGAGTTTCAGTCCATGATCTTTATTGTTTTTGCACCTGTTATGAAGTGATACATCATAGAAAGAGAGATGTCACTCACCTTATGACAGCAAAGAAGCCAATGGGAATGGGCATGGGTGTTGAATCTCTTAATCTTTTTCAAGGGTGTTACCTCCATAACTAAGTTCCTTCCACTGGAGATTTTTTTCTTAAACAGCACCAAGATGAAGACCAAGGCATCAGCATTGGAGTCAGATCCAAATAATAGCATGCTGCTAACACTTAAGCCAGTGTAAAGCAACAGGAACCCTCAATAAATGGTTGTACATTAGGCAGATGATAATGTAAATGTTATTTTCTTTAATATTATTTCTCAAGTTATTCATTTAGTATCATTTCTTTATATTACACATCTTTCATGGTTATGAATATTAAATCTCTTGATTATCTATGTATACCTCTCCCACCTTAAGAAGAATGTGAAATATTTCAATGGAGGCAATTTTCATGCTTGTCTGTTTTTCTTGTTTTATCTTTCATTCTGTTTCTTTGTTAGTACTGAAAAATATTCTTTAGTGGAACATGCTTATAATCCCAACAATAAAGCAGGAAGACTGCCTAAATTCAAGGACAGCCTGGTTAAAAAGTGAGACTCTGTTTTAGGCCAACAGAGTCTTAATAAAAGTAGCTATTAAGATTTATATCAAGATGGTTGGTGGGCACAGCTCCTTGTTCCAGTATTTGTCCAGCACATGTCATGTTCTGGGTTCAGCAGCCAGCTCTGAAAACAAATTACAAAAGAAGAAAAATCAGAATTAATTGCTAGCTCATAAACAAAGTTATAAAATGTCTTTACATATGGATTAAGAAAAATTGCAAGTCATGTCAATATTAATTTTTATTAAATTAAAACTCTCTGTAGACAAGTGAAAAAAATAATTTATTGTAGAGGTTTTTACACAATTAACATGTATCATTTATACATATATTGATGTGCTGACATGAAATACTAAATTTAAAGACAAACATTTTTACACAAAAGTAGTTGCACTATATTTTATAAAGACAGATATATAAATAAGTTATCAGAGATATATAAAGGATAATAGGCCAAATATTCCAACAGAAATGAAGTGCATTCTATGTTGAAATTAAAATGATTTTCTGAATAATCTGAATATGATGTCCTGGATGAGTTGACATTCTCCTAAGATAATATAGGAAGCTCAGGTCGGGAGATAGGCCAAGGCTGGCTCTAATAGCAGTGTACTAGCTGTGTATTCCCAGCTTTGTTTTTTGATATAGTTTGAGCTCCAACACTTGCTCAAGCAAATGTAACCTTCCAGTGTGAAACAATGCAGCCCCATCACAGCCACCAGTAGTTTCTGAAACTAAGTAAAGAACTACAATACAAATTAGGACATATCAGATGTTAGATAAACCCTATTTGACATGAGATTTGAATGAGCAACCAAATCTTACAATAAGAGAAGGGAATTAACATACTTCAAAATAGTCACTCTTTTCTTAGTACAACATAGTAATTCCTACTTAGAAGTCTAGAAAATCTAGAAAATAATTGCAATTTTCCTAAAACTTAGATTCACTCCTTTAGAAAATGGTTTCTAGAATAACATGCAACAACATGATATAAACTTTGTTTTATGTCATAGCCATTAAAATATATATGTACATACATGTGGGAAATAAAACAAATCTGCTAAGCCATGATATACACATACATGGCCAGAGACTATTAAGTCTCATTTTATTTATTTCAACTAATATATATTGGGTGTCTACTTTTAGATCACCAGTTTAGGTTAATGCTTGTAGCAGAATTCAAAGAACACAAAGCTCCAATCATCCACATCAAAAGCCAAACTTTAGAAAATGTACCAAGACTTTAAAGGTATTCAAAAGCAAAACTAACATCAGATAATGGACAATGTCAGATATGTCTAACTAGGAGGAAGTTTTGGGTCACTAAAAAGGACAGTAGAAATCAGTATCCACAGGGAATAGTTACTCCTAGGCTTGACACGTGTTACGCTGTCACCAGAAGCCAACTGACAGTTCTCTTTGTCCCACAATATGAGATTCAGTTTTCATCCTGGTTTGTTTCCTTAAATGGGTGGAAGAAATATATTATTGATCTTTCATCTTTATTAAGCTCACAATGCCCCCCAAATACATTTTGATGTCCTTGACTGTGGGATATGCATTGATATATATATTTTCTACAAACCATCTCCACCCTAGTTTGACAAGAAATTATTCTTTGGGTCTTCTGACCTAGAAGACTGACACCAGAGAGTTCGCTTCATCAGTTGGGCACCCATGAGCATAGCACCCTCACCAGCAAATTATTTGGAGATGTAAAAGCAGCTGAAAGAGTTTAAAAGCTGACATTCTGTTCCCTTTAGTGTTTGTTATACTCTATGAAAACATTTTAGGGAATGTATACACAGAGGAAAAGATATGTGTTTGAGTAATCTCATACCCTCTGAAGAGTTAATGCACCAAGGGAACAAACTGTACTTGTGCTTATGATTTGACCCCTTGAAAAGAAGAGGCCAGGCATGGCCAAGACAGTGTAGTCCTGCCTTGGGTGGCAGCTGGAGAGGAATCTCTCAGCACTTGAGAACCTAAAATCTCTCCTAAGAAATTATTTGGATTCTAAAACATCAGAAACCAGGCTTCTTTAAAGGAGAAACTCAAAGGAGACCAGATCATCAAGGGTTCCTCAAACACTGCACAGGAACATCTGGTGGACTTGGGAGAGTCCTACGCTTTCTGATTAGTAAAACTGCTAGGAAATGTGGTCATCATGTAGACTTGCTGAGATCTCAGATGGAGTAGCAGGGGCTGAGAAGGCCTCATGGGTCCCCGGGGACCCAGTACTTGGGCTGTGTTTAAACTGGAACACAGAGGAAGAAATACACCTCAGCTCTGCTTGGCATGAATTAGTTCCCACTTTATCAAAAGACCAAATCCGTTCAGTACCTTCTAAGGCAGATCTGGTTCTAACTTGTTGATCAGTATTGCAGTAAAGTTGCATTTTACTAAGCGTTCCTCTCTGTAAGCAAGAATTCTTTTCATTCCAAGGTCATTTCTGGTGTGTCTTCTTGAACTCCCCACTTTCTATTCTTTCTCATAAACAAAAGCAATGCCCTGATGAGCCATACCTCTATGCCTGTGTTTTTTCTGGATAGGAACCAAACTTGCATTGGCTCTTTCTTGCCCTTCATAGACACCGGGCCTCTATGTTCCAAATGGAACTGTGGATCTGAATTTTCTGGAGACATGAGGCACCTGTGAGTCAGGGGATGGAGTAGAGAGGGATGCTGAGAAAGGTTGTGTAGAGAATTAAAACAGCCAGACCTCACAGTGAAGTTGTAGTTAAAGGCACTTAAGATTTTTTAGTAATGATGCTTATCAGAAACATCCCCTGTGATGTGGAGTGCTTTACCTACCATGGAAACAGTGGTGCACACTTCTCAAAGAAAAATAATTCCACAAGCAGAGGGGAGATATGTTTGTAGCGACTGTTTAAAAGGAGCGAAACTACACAGTTTGCCCACACACTACCCTATAAATAGCAAGTGTTCCCTTCCTCACCTGTATGTATATTCAGACACATTGATCTTTCCCTTTTCTCCTGTGGTTTCTGTTCTGCTTGTGAGGTTGACAGTGTTTCCAAAAAGACAATACCGGGGCATCCGCTGTCCTATGACACCTGTCACCACCTCCCCAGTGTGGATCCCGATTGTTATCTGTAGACAACAAAGTTTTGCTTCAATAGCCTTGAATGTTAACATGTGTATTTTACAGACTATTTCAAATGCCCTCGCACAATATCCCTCTGAGAGGAGAAATATTCTGCTCAAAGAGAAAGGCCAGAAGATATGAAGTGGGCAACATCCATGGTGAGTCAACACAACAGAAACAGTGAGACATTTCCTTATTCTCAGGACATTCTGTCCACAGAACAAACCAACTAATTTATTTCTCATGTCTATGGAAAAGTATAAAATAGCATTTCTTTCAGGGTGCCCTTCTTTGTACATATAAACAATTACCAGAGCAGGAACATTATTGCTTATCAACCGAGTTCTACTATTAGTATCCAAATATTTAGTTTCTTTACTCACCTGAACAGATTCACCATCTACTTGAACTTGACCAGCAATTTCCATCATGTCCAAGGCTAGGTGGCAAATGGACCTTGCATGGTGGATACAAGGTTCTGGTAAACCACTCACTGTCATATACTTGTCACCAACTGTCTCCACCTAAGGTGACACAAACATTCATATGTTCAATGGTTTATATAAAGTGACTAGTTTTTTTGTTTGTTTGTTTTTAGTATTATTCCGAAAAATAATATTTCCTAGAGTTCACAGTGACCTTCCTTTTAAATTTCTTGAAACTAGAGTGGTGAGCTCCAGCAGAATGGAACTCCTAACAATCTAGAATTGATGTGGCATGGGCTCTTGACCATTTCATCTGATTCCCCCTTGTATCTCGGTAGACTATGTATGTGTGCATGCACGTATATGTAAAAATGCCCTTACCAATCCATATATGTGCAAGTGCATGTAGGTGTGTCTGTGCAGTGTGATTGCCTGTACACATACAGGTTGCAGGTTGATGGGAACTCTCTCTCTCTCTCTCTATCTCTCTCTTAGTTTTTTTCCATTTTTCCTTTCCTTTTTTTTTTTTTTTTTTTTTTTTTTTTCCTCTTTGAGTATACACTGGTAAGGATTAAATTTGAATCCAAGTATTCAAACATGCTAGGAAAACACTTTGCCACTGAGCTGAATCCCCTGCTACCTTATTTTTTGAGACAGTGTTTCTTACGGAATCTGGAGCTTAGTGTTCAGCTAGACTGGCTGGCCATCAAACCCCCAGGATCTGCCTGCCTCTACTTCCCCCCACCCCCCACCCCCCGCACTGAGGTTACAGAGGTACACTGCCACCCTGGCTTTTCCAAACTTAAGATCCTCATGCTTACATAGCCCTTTGTAGAATATTCTGTTACTTCACTGTTTCTTGGAGCGGCTCAGGTTTGAGAACACAGGAGCTGTTGGCTGAAGTTCAGTGATTTTTCTTGGCCTCTAGCCACTTTTTTATTCATCATTTAATTATTTTTTTAAATTTTCAAATTGAGTTGTTGATTGGTGTATGCATATTATACAGATACATGTCTTTGTGAGCATGTGTATGGAGGCCAGGGATGACCTTGGCTGTCATTCTTCAGATGCCATCCATCTTCTTGTTTAAAATATGCAGAGTAGGCTGGGGTAAGCCATGTAATATTGTGATGTGCTCACCAAGTGCAGCACTGAGGCTCAAAAGAACCCAAAAATAAATAGTCTTTGTGAAGTTATATTACCCCGGGAACCTAGACACAGTCAGTAACATTCTTGCCTTTATAAAGCAATATTCCACTGACTTCATTTTTCCAATATTATATTTGTTTCTACTTAAAACAAAGGGAAGAGATGTCTTGTAAATGTTTATCTTCAAGTTGATGGTATCTAAAAGTAAACCTGAGGTCCAGGACCCTTCTTAAGCTCCATGCCTATTCCACAGTGCAAAGCGTTTATGTATTTTAGGAAAAAAAATGTCTTTGGCTGAGCACAAAAATGAATGCTGAGTTTATACTAAATGTAATAAACAATTTTCACAGACTCGTTAACCTAAGTGCAAGAAACTGCCGGATTCTTCATGTCAGCCAAAGATTGTCTGCTCCATGAAACACCATCATGGTTGCAATGAAAAGAAAGTTCCCTAAGTTGTAACTACTCAGCATTGAAGTAGACAAGTGCTGCTCTCAGCCTTGGTCAGAGAAGCTTCATTTTACAGTGAGCAGTAGTTAATGTAAAGACTCAGGTTTGGTCAAGGGGCTGAGAATGACTATTGAGTGCATAGTGCTAAGTGCAATATCTGTATCATCTCCTCTAAGGCTCAGTGGATATCTGGGATGTTCATCAGGGGGCAGAAAAAATAGTTGTGGGAAAGCTGTGAAATGACATCTTCTGGGAATGACATGGAAGCTGTACTCAGAGTCATATTGCAGACTGTGCCTTCACAGGGCCTGCACAAGACTTAGGCGTGTCAACAATATATGGGTATTGCTTCTGGGGAATAAGACACACTGTCTTAGTGCCATAACTACTGGTAACTTGTCCATACTCCAATGGATAGCTCATGAATGCAAAGTGTCAGAAAACATAAATAAACAAACAAATAAACAAAAGCATGAAAGTGTGAGGGAGGATACTTGTTGAGAAAAGTGAGATGGGAGGGTGGTAAAAGAAGGTGGGTATGAATACGATCAAAATTATTTGATAGTTTCACATCAAATAATACATTTCTTTACATGAGCAAAGTATTTAAGCTAGTTGCCTGTAGTGACTCAATAGACTTTATCACACAATAAAGCAGCTACAGTCCCAGTGCAGTGACCATGGGCTTCTGCTGGGCATCCCAGAAGCCCAGACCTGCAATGCACAAACCAGACTCTCATGATGACTTGCCTTATAAACAAATGGGTTTTTCCGTGAATCAGTCAGTGTGTCAAATCTGGTGTAGAGGTCATTGAGTAGGTTGACAATCTTCATGGCCCCTTCTCCAGATGCATGTTTGCTACAGAAAGCATTGAAGCCCACAATGCCACTGAAGAGGATGGTCACATTGTCATATCTTTTGGCAGGCACTGGGCGCTTGTGTCTCAGCTCATTGGCAACAGATGGAGGAAGGACCGAATACAGCAATCTATGGGGATCAGGAGAAAAAGCTGTAAGTCATGCTGAGGAGCCTTTACTACTCTAGCTTTGCCTCTATATTTCATCAAGCCATTATGCTAGATCCTGATAAGCTACCCTTTAAAACCAGTGTCAAGCATTAGATATATACAAAACAGAAACATAGCAACTATTTGTCCTCTGTGATCACATATATCCCTAATCTTAAACCATTTCAAACCAACTCAAAATAAACCAAGCAAATAAACAGATAGGGAAAACAAAAGATCATCAACAGGACCTCACAGTTTTAATTTGTAGTCTTGGCTTCTTCCCCTATTCTTATGACAATGACAGACTTGACACTATCAGTATGAGCATCTAAGATACTGCACAAATAGCCTAATAACAGAAACATGCTGATTTTACAGTAATAAAATTTCTCTCAAATACTGCAAAGTCACAGCTAATAAAGTAGAATTACTTCCTAGTCTTAATTATACCTCACTCATTCCTGGAAGAAACTGATAAAAGATAGGAAAAGTGGTTTAGATGTATAGACATTTTATTTCTGTAAGTAATACTGAGACATCTACCATGACATTGGGAAAGAGCTGAGGAGAGAACATGGTCAACACACAGTAGGAGAGGAGCTTGCAGATTAGAAGAAAAGCAAAAATCCCTGGGCTCCCAGTCTGAAGAAACAAGAAGAAACAAGGCCTTCCTGTCCTTTTCATCCTTTTAGCCAATGGGAAAAGTTCAAATATGAAACACAGATCCAAGCTCTCTGTTTTCTCTCTAGACATACTGGATCTTCTTTAGTGATTAATTTTAGCTTCTAAACAGGAAGTATTTCATGCAACATTGAAATTAGATCTTAGTATTGAATGTGAGCAGAAGAGCTTAGCTTTAAAGAAAACCAGATGGTTTATAATGAAATTGTCTTAAAAATAAAGTCTCTACTATAAAATCAAATCCCAGTCTATTAATATAAATACCAATCACAAAAATTAATGAAGCACACTATCCCTAAATAGGGCAAATGGATTTTGAAAATCCACTCAACCTTGGACAAAACAAAACAAAGAAAATTTGCAGATGGTTTTTGAAAACCATTCAACTTTGGGCAAACCAAAACAAAGAAAGGGTCCTGTGATGAATCCTTATGCTCTAGTTCAGAAGTCAAACTCTAGCAACAGTAGCATCAATGCCAAAGGCTATACCATAGACAAGTGAATACTCAAGCCAACAATTTTGTGGCAATGTGAATCAACAGTATTTTTAGTATGGAGCATAGAATATATGGATATTTCCACAATTTAAAAGCTGTATCTCTGTAGTCTGTTTACTACTGGTTTATGAGACATCCCCCAAAGGCCCATGTGTTGAAGTCCCTAGGCTATGATGCTATTGCAGGCTGATGCAAACTTTAAGAGGTAAGGCCCAGTTGGAGGAAGTTGGGTCACATAGGTACACCCTTGACAGATACACAGATCTCATCCTTCCCTTTAGCATTCTAGCCAGGATAACATGAGCAGCCTCCTGTGTCATGCAAACCCTGCTATAGTGTTTGATCCCATTATGGCCTAAAGCAACAGGGCCAGAAACAGAGACTGAAGTCTCTGAAGTAAAAAACCCAAACTTTCCTCATTTCTTCATAAGCTTATTATCTCAGCAGTTCTTATAGCAACAGAAAATTTAGTAACATGACTATAAGTATGAATATCAGCATACATGGAACCAAATATCAAAAAAATTGAGATATACATCATTTTCTGATATCACAGACAATGCAGAATATAGGGTAACTGGAACTGACTGACCCATAGGACATTGGTGCATCATATAAATATGTGATTTTTTTTTTTTTTGTGGACGAAGTTGTAGCATATAAGGATAAGCATTGCGAGATGTAGAGCTGCCTATCCTCATGTTCTTAATGAAATTTACAGAATATGTAGCCAATTAAACTAGGTGCCCTTACAACCATGGGGGTTGAAGTGGTCTCAAAGCAGCTAGACTCAGCTTTCAGATGAATGATGTAAAGGTGAAACCATGTGACTGAATGAAGCCGTTGTGAATAAAGACAGGCATTTACAATGAATCCTCTATTTCATTCATGGTATTAATAATGCTAACTGCTGTGTTTATTTGTGTGCTCAGCAGCTACAGACAGGTGCCTTACACACACACATCAATGCTAAGGACAGTGCTGTAGCTGTCAATCTTCTGGCACTGTAGGGAAATGAAATGATTCTGATGGGAAACAAGTCAATTAGGTTCAGTTCTCCAGAAACACAACACCCTGATTCACAAACAAAAATTAAAAAAAAAAAAGAGCATTCGAGAACCTGAGGAAATCATCCTATGGGCATTAGGAAAGTACTGCTTTTAATTACTATGCGGAGACAGCATCAAACAGTGTTCAGGGACACAAGAGGACCCAGACCTTTCTAGTGAGAGGATGAAGCCTAACATTACCCAAGTAGTGGTAAATTGTGAGTAAAAGCCAGCCCTTTCTTCACTCCATGCTTACGTGTCTGTCTTTTTCTTCTCATCCTCCAGGGCTCTTAATGTGAGCTGCAGCCTATCAGTGAGGATTTCCAACTCTTGTGTTAGTTTATATTCCTCCCGGAACTGCTCTCCCAAAAGAACCAGGTCTCGGGTGGCATCATGAAGGGGAATGTCACTCAGGTACAGGCCTCTTCTTGTCAGGTCATCCAAGTTCATCACACTGTCACACAGAGCAATGAAACAAAATCAACACCACTGATATTAGCCCTTCCTACAGCAAGAGGCATAAAGTGGCTTTCTCTTTCTCCACCTTTGCTGTTCAAAAGATCAGGCTGAAGGAACACAGGAGAAGCCTACCCAACAAAGGTCTTGTTTCCAGTGTATCTAAAACCTCACTAGCAAGCAGCAAACACTTTTGTTTGTCAAGTTGCACTTGGAGGTATTTGCATCTGCATTCATGGAAAGATACTATAGAAAACTTCCCCCACCTAAATCTCCTCCTGTATTTAATACAAGGCTAGTACATTTTAAACAATCATCTTGTTTTTCCTTATCCCAGAGCAATCTATCCTCATGCATGAGTCAGGAATAATGATGTTTCTATTGAGAAACCACCTCATTTGCCTTATTATTCTAAGAATCTTATAAGTAATTGCTTTGCTGTTAGAAACAATGATGGAATTTCTAAGGTTTAGTAACTCTCCTCAGTGTGCATTTTAAAGACTCCCTGACTTGTGCTTTTATGCCATTTTTTTCTTCACGCTTTCTTTTCTTCCTCTATTCTTATTTTCGGTTTTTGGTTCATTTTCTCATTTTTAAAATGTATTAGACCTTGCTGAAGTCTATGAATCTTTATAACTTAAATCTCACCTTTCCATAGCACTATTGTAATGATCTTGATTGATTCACTGAAATTCTGGTACATAAAAAGTTCAGTTAAAATTAGTCATTACCCAAGTATCTAAAGATATATTTTTGGTTTAAGTTAATTCTTAAAATATAAAGTTATTATTTCTGGATACTTTGGATGGCAATTTCTCTAAAATAACAAATTTGGGTCATGACTTTATTAGGGAATTTTAGATTAAAACGAGGCTCTCATGAAAGTGTTCTCAACAAAAATATCTAAGTTAAAGCAAAGTAAGCATGGCCCTATGCAAGCACAGAATAACCAAAGATATTAATGACTAATTACACAGCTGCTTTGTATATTTTAAAGCCTTCTTTCAAAACTAAACCCATCTAAAAAGATGACAGACAATTTGCCAAATGATCTGAATGTGATCAAACAAGATCTACCCCTGAGGAAAGCCAAAATGAGATAATCTTAACATTGAAATGGCTACCCTATTGCCGGGTGTAATATGTCCTCTTAGTCAGGAGGGTCACAGAGTCTCTTTAGACAACGCAGACTCTCATCACTCTTAGCTGCATACATCTAGCCGCTAAGACCCTGTTGCTGAAGATACCTTACACCTTGGCTACAAGGTATAGAGAAATGAAGCTAGAACAGAGCTGGAAGCTTATGGATAGATTTCATAGTTCCAGCAGTTGCTGTAATTCTGCTGGGGGAGAAGAGGCATCAATGGCCTTAACCAGCTGAACTCTATGATCCACAGGACCACTCTGTGAGGCAAGTTTTTCTCATCCATGAAATAGTTGCACAACAGCAATATGAAGAAACAACTGATATCTGATTAGGTTTGAAGCCCACTCTACAAAAGTAGCACTTTGCACCTGCTCATCATGGCTGAGGAGGTCTTAAGCCCTAGGGGAGAACACACAATACTGTTGTTTAACTAATTTGTCATGAAATTAAACTGATCTCTAAATAAAATATGTATATCTGTATCTACAAACAGGTGTCATACATGGCTCACATCAGAGACTTTCTCTGTAATGGTGAAGACTGCAGAGTAACATAGCTGTTCTAAGTGCTAAGGAGTGATAGTTGAATGTTCAGCCCTAATAACAATATTTATACCAGCCCTGTTAAGGCTCAGGAAACATCCTGGGTGAGGGCAGGATGAATGTAATATCTGGAAAGATACAGCAGCTGGAGAAGGGCTGTGAGATGCTATGTTCTCAGCATGGCATAGCCAATGCAGCCATGGCCAAGCAGCAGCTGTGCTACTTGCAGTGGTCCTACACAGTCAGCCTCAACAGTCAGCCATGGCCTGGGGATTTAGGAGCCTTATCTCTCCCTGATGAACTACCCCTGCTACTGAGAGATCCTGTGGGAGAGACAACCATTGTCTTCACCTGTGTACCCACCAGGCTCCAGGGAATAGTTCCAATAGATCACAATGACCTTCATTAAACTCTGTGAGTTTCAGAAGAACCCAAAGCAAAGTGAACAATAAAAATAAAGTCATACATGTGGGAATATAACTTGTAAGGAGGGGGAGGGAATAGAGATGGAAGAGAGATTCAAAGGAAGATTATGATAATCAGAATAAAATGAATACTAGGTGAAAGGTCATTCATACTGAAGTAGATATCTTAATGAAATTACAAACAGCTTATTCCTCTGAAAGTTCCTCTACGGACCCCATGCTGTGTATGTTGTTAGAATGTTTGTCTGGCATGCAAGAACGTCTTGTATTCACTCCTCTGTAGACAGAAGTTTCTATCCTGCCTGGTCCCTCAGCAATTCAGTCCCAAATAAACATACAGAGGCTAACATTAATTGTAACTATTTGGTCAATGGCTCAGGTTTCTTATTGGCTAGCTCTCTCTTAATCATTCACCCATTTTTATTAATCTGTGTATCTCCACATGGTGTTGGTTTACCAGAGAATGTCCAGGCATCCTACCTCCCTGGTGGCTACATGGCATCTCCCTTTATTCCACCTACTACTTTTCTCTATCCCTGTTTGTATTTCCAGCCTAGTTAAACCCTGCCTGTCTATTGGCTGAAACAGCTTTATTCATCTTCGAGTAAGAGAAACATATTCACAGCATACAGAAGGACATTCCCCCATCACTCCTCCACATCATACAAAGGGCTGATGTGATGCTGTATGCTTGTTATTGTCAGTCTTCAGGAGGTAGGGCCAAAGGATCCAATGTTCACTAGTATGTGAGTCTATATATCTAGTTTGAGGCTAGCACTTTACTAAAAGTGCTACATGATATACTGTCTCAAAAATGAAATCCTTATTGTTTTCTCTTAGTTTGAATTAATCATACTAGAATTATTCATAGGCAAAAATTCTTCCATTTAAAGAGATTTCATGGTAATTGGTAAATGTGTCACTATAGGACTGATTTTTGTATATGGAAATTAAAATATACACTATGAAATTTCTGATCCTCCCTCACAATAAGCCTTCCTGCCCTTGAATAGAAACTCTCCCCTAAAGTGAAGCTGTCATTCTACTTGTCATTCTACTGCTACTCAATCAGGAAAATGCATAACAAGGAGTACTGATGGCAGGTGAGATGCTACTTAGTCCCAGGATGCTGTTAGCTTTAAAGATAATTTATATTTCATAGGTTTGTCTCTTTTGTCTGCATGGTAAATAATTCTCAGAAAATAAATTATAATTATTGTTATATAATATTATATGCAAAATAACATCTAAAAATAAGTGTATAATTATCTTATCCTCTTGTTCTAACAATACATATTGCAAATCTTCCTGTATCTTTTAGTAAAGTGCTAAAATTAGGGAAACATCAATCCATGCTTTGTCCCTTCTGATATTATTATGAATAACACATTTAACATAAATTTAGGTTATTAATCTACTTTTAACACTACAACCCAATAAAAATAGTTACATAGTTTTAATTTAAAGAGGTTTGGATTAAAAACATTATCTTTTTTTATAATTGTTGCTAACTATAGAAGTTCTTTATTTATGCCATCATATCCTATGCTTTCCAGGATTGGCCTCTTACATGGTACTCTTTGAAATCACAAAAATACAGAATTAGCAAACAGAAGATTTCTCTACTCATAATCCAACATAAGGAAGGTGGGACTTTGAGTTTTTAGAAATGCTCAATGTAATCACCCTTATTATAAAAAAATTACATAATGAGGGTTTGAAAATCCAGTTTATACTTCAGCAAAAATAAATATTGTAGACTAAAATGCTGTTGGATTAAGAGAGGATGTATTTTATCCATGTATAGTCTACATGTATGCACTGAAATATCATGCCAAATTCTATTCATATATACAAATAATACATATTGATCCAGACTTTTAATGAAGTTTTATTCAATTAATTTTTAACTTATCACAATCACACTTAAGCTAAAAGTTATTACCTTGGTGAACAGAGAAATAGAATACTATCTGCTTCAGGTAAATAGATCATCTGGCCTTTCAGACGTAAGCAGCTAATCTCTGTCCCAGTCAGTTCATCCTCACATTCAAGTTTCTCAACATCCAGCAATCCTTCCTTGAACAGGGAAGACAAAACATTAGCTTCATCCCCCACCCCCATCCTGCCTGGTAAAGCATCAGGAAGGCGTGAAAACTTATCCTTCTCATGAACCCTAAAGGAGATGAAGCTAGACCATCAGAACTAGAAAGGTGTTGCCCACGGTAAGACTGTCATTAGTCTTGATGGCACACAAGATGGTAGCAACTGAGCTCTGGCTCTTACTTTCATTGTAAGCTCCTGTGATTTTCCAGTTTGGTCACAACACACATTTCTGAATTGTACTGAAACAAAGCCAGGGTAACCCTGTATTCACAGAACAACTGGAAGCAGTCAGTTCCCAGCATATAAAACATATGTGATTGTGTCTTTGGCAAGTCATGTGGGAAGTCTTTGGAAAGTCATGAAAAGTATGGATGATAGGGAAATTGTGATTGCTACAATTATGCTAAGTGCACAAATGAGGAGATCTGGAAACCATCTAAACTACCAACTGTGGGAGTTTACAGATTTTTAATCCTTTTATTTCCCTACAGAAAAAAAAAATGTTAGCAAGTATTATAAACAATTTACAGAAGAAAAAAATCACTAGCTTTAGTGACATTATCAAAGACTTCTTGTTAGGTCTTCTGATTTCTTTAAAACAAAACAAAACAAAACAAAGTGATAGTAAATTCAAGGGAGTAGATGTTGGTTTTATTACATGAGATTGAGAAGGCTTAGATGTTCCCAGCAAGACACATTCTCAAACATTTCCCCCCACTCATTCTGGTCAACTGACAAAGGTCTATGTTCCTCAGCCAAACAGTGCTCTCTTGAGAGTTGTAGTTTATTTTCTTATATTTCTGTCACATAGACTATGCTTATAGATGATTTCCCCATAACCTGTCTTGCTTATGTTCATTTGAAGGGGTGTCTGATTACCTTGCTTCTCAGTACAAAGACTGTATTGATGTGTGAAAGAATCCCATGAAAACTGATGTCAATATGAGGGCGGACCAGAGAGAAAACAGACAGAAGGCTGCAGTTCCCAGGCTGGAGCTAAGAGGGGGGAAAAAGAGCAAAGAACACTCAGCAACTTTAAAATTCACTTTGTGATTAGACATTAATCTTGAAAGTAAGCAAGATTAGTTGTATTTATAAGGGAAAAATATCTTAAACATTGTATGGGAAATTTAACCTATATATGAAACTGAGTGGTTAAGCAAACATAATATACTTGCAGAGACAAGAAACGTAATATGGATTTAATTAACTAATATTCAAATATAAACTGATGCAAATAAAATAATCATTTCAGGAGGAAATAAAAGGAAAGTTAGTGTTAGATGCCTGTGGCTGAAAATGAAGTTAAATATCAAAACATCAGCAAATATTTGCTTTAAAAGATAGATAATATTAATAGAAGTAATAACACAGCAGCTGCTTGAGACAGAGCAGATAACTGGGCTAAAGGGTCCTCGTGTCATTTCAGGACAGAAGGAAACAGGCAGAGTAACACACCATGAGGGAAAGCCCAGACAAAACACTCTTCTGCTCCCAGACCTACAGCTTTTCACAAGGCCTCTGTATTCTAGTCCTGAATTACGGCGAAAGGTACTTTCAGACACACACGCATGCTGTGGGCAAATGCTAACATGGAATATGAGAGAAAGAAGGAGTACATTGCAAACTCTCCCTGGTTCTCCTATGTTCCACCACTCTACCCGTGGTAACCTCGATACTTTTCACCCCGGGTGTTTGTAAATTTCCTTCTTCCCCTTGTCAACAGCTGATTTTGAAAACTATTTTTGGAAGGCAGTTAGGCAGCAAATATTTATTCAATAAACAAAATATAAGTGAAATCTGACTGCTGTTACCAAGTCCCCAATTTTCTCACAAAGCAAGTTTGCTGTTCTCATGACTTCCTCCTCTCTCTGTAAGTGATTAAGAAGAAACAAATAAGTCCTGTGGAAACATATTTAGGTTATAAGTGCATGGGATATTTCCTGAAATGTTGTCAAAGGTTAAAAGGGTATGAAAATTGCAAGAGGGTCAGCCCCCTGAGTAGTGATACTCATTTTACCTGTGGGAGAACTCTGTAGATGGCATTGCCACACTGAGTGACCACTAGGTCCCGGTCAAATATTATGTGGAAAGGAAAGGCTTTGCAGAAGGTATATGGGCTGATGCGTGATTCCTGGGTACCATTTTCTTCAAACCTGTCCAGATCTTCATAGAAGTCCTCTTCTTTTGACTCTTTTTCTTCAATTAAAAATTGAGTATGGTCACATTCCTCATTTCTTTGCTGAATAACCTGGATGTCAATGGGAGAAATTGTGGTTAACTGTTGCTATTTTAGTTTAGTTATGAATATAATTACTGACTATGAACATTTAGAGAATTAGAAAAATGAAAATACATGCAAATGCTATGTAAAGCTGGAAAATCTGTCTAGATATTTTCAGAAATGTGAAGGCAATATTCTTCTGGGTAAGGTCTTCTGTATTTTAGATAAACTTCCAGTAGGAAAGTTTCTAGTCAGCTGGGTAGCTAAGAATAACTAAACTTCTGATCCTCTAGCCTCCATCTCTTATGTACTAAGGTCATGAGTTTGCACCACTATGGTCAGTTTACTCCATACTAGGGAACTGAATTTAGGACCTTGTGCACAGTACTTAAGCATTCTGTAAGCTTAACTATCTCCCATAATTATTAATATAAAATTTTTCATTATAATTCTGGTATGGTTGCCCATCAGTACATATGGCCTTTTGGGTAGTATAGGAAGAGAGTGTACCCTTTACCTCATAAGCTGGGCCTCCCAAACAGGCACATTTGTACAGCAAATCTGTGATTACACTGCACTTGGGAGAGAACATGAAAAGCACAGAGAGCCGATGGCTCAGAGAAGCCATACAGATCAGAGACAGAGAAAACTGGCAATTGTCTTCATTATACAGTTTCTCTATTTGTGCCTTGAAATTGCCGCTCAAAAATAACAATGGGTATCACCAACAGTATCAGGAAAGACCAGAGATGGCTTGGCTATGTTCACCAGCACAACTTGATTTTCACAAATAGAAACAAAGAACAGAAACACAAACTTTTAGTTGACAAAATAAAATGCTCTAGGTACATTCCAGGAAAGACAAAAGAATTCACATAGAAAAGGAGATCTGTAAAATCGGTTAACTTAATAAGTTCTTTCCATTTCATTATCCACAATCTGATATGTTGCAGGCTCAGTCAGTTATCCTCCCTCCCCTTTCCCAGCTGGCATGTATTCACAAAAAGTAACTGAATTTCCTCTTGCCTTAAGCAATATATAATTAGAAAGAAAATCTGTTGCAAGGAGAAAATTGCCCAGTATAATGCATTCCCGGGCCAAATGGAGAAGACTCCTGGGGTTCACACCATCTCAGCTTACAAGTCCTGCTAGTGCAGCCCATGATCAGCAATCATTATAACATCATTGCAAATGTTCCAGTGCCCCTTGTATTCAGAAACCTCTTCATTGGTGGGCATTACCTTCATGTCTATCTCAGTGCCGTGTATCTGTTGAGCAACAGTCTTGATGATCCCAATAACAATGTCCTGAAGCCCCTCTCTTTCTGAGTAGTAGTGCAAAATGAGCCCTTTGCCTTTTTCTGCATCGGTGCACCTGAAGGAAGGGGCACGCATGCCTGGGTAGATGGTAGCAAGGTGGTCATGCAGGGCATCGAGGTTCTGTGGTGAAGAGGAGAGAATGGTGACTACAAACTGCTATGACAAGAGGACTTAGCAATACAACGAGCAGAAACAAGGTTCAAATCTGGTTTTACTGGGCGGGTCACTAGAGTAAGCTAGAGATGTTTCATGGTGTCCCTCATACAGCTGCAACGTAAGTACCATGTAGAGAATAAGGACAGAAGGGTTGAGAAGAGTATATGTGATCCTTAGGGGCAAAAGCAAGCATCTAAGGTTGTTCATGAACATTGTTGTAAGCAGTGGAGAATGTTTAAATCACTTACATCCTTTCTGCTGGCTCTATAATCCCCAACTGAATTTAATTTAAAACTATCAAGATGCAAAGGATAGCTAAATATAAGCCTATTGCCTTGATTATTGATATTTTTATTAAAAATGTGGATTTTTAAGGTAAAGGTTTATATTTCCTTGTCCATCAGTAGTCCCCAACCAAGATGAAAGCCCATAGCAAAGCAACAAACAAATGACTGTCTCAGACTAAAGTTTTTGCAAAACTAAAGCTGTCGAATTTATTGTAGCTTTGTCACTTAGAACATGATAAATTTCTCGGCGTTTTCTATTAGCCCCTAGAATTCAAAACTGACTTATACATTGACACAAGAACTCTAAAAGCTACACTTTTAAATCAGTCCAACATGATAGCATGTAGTTGACAACAGGTCTCATTCAGGTTTGTGAAGATGAGGGAGATATACCCAAGCACAGACAGTAATGAAGGATAACACTGTTTCAGTTAGCTGGATAAATCCAATGTCATTCTGTACCTGTCTACAATAAATTCTGTTTTCTTCCATCTGATAACCCCTGTAAAAAATCAAGCAAGCTAGTGATAAACAAAACATGGCTTCTTCCTGATTGCCTCTAGGAGCCGCTGTTGTTGTGTAAAAGTTACCAGGCAGTGTCCTAGCCTGTGTTCCTGGAAGCCACCTGTCCAGGAATTTGCATTTCTTTCTATTGAGTAGAGCATTACAATGGGTTCTTCTGCAGGAACCCTGCAGATATTTTGGTGCAAAAATCTTGAGAGAGAACATTTCTTGAGGAGAAAATGTCAAGAGTTTCACTTTTATCTCAATTTTCCACAAAGTCTCAACTGAGTTTGTGACTGCACTAAGGACATTTTTCTTACATATTACAGTCCAAAGTACTATGTTGTGTTCCTTAAATGGAAGGAAACCATGTTAAAGCTGTGGTTTAATAATATTTCACTTTTTAAACAAAATGCTAGTATTCCCTAGTCAATATGCTCATGTCACTTGCTTACTATCAATTTCTATCCGGGCTCATGATGCTCTTTGTACCTTCCTACATACAGTCAATCCAATTACTTGGCAGTGACAAAGGTACCATTTCTGCCAATGGCTATCTTGATGTTAAGGCAGGTCTGACACTGGATTGATCACCCAGGATGGATGAATTATTAAAGATAGCACCCTTCTTGTCTTTGGTGAAACTGAAGGTTGTGCACAGGTATGGACAGTATAAAGTTTGAATATTGGTAATACATTATTGCTCAGATGTTTTCTTAAAGGCAAGCTGGTTACTACAAATGTGGAGGGACAGTGTTTGTGATGCAAGCCTTTTTTTGTGGTAACCAACTCTCCAGTGATTTGTTGTTGTATTGAATTTGCTATTAATTAAATGGACAAGTAGAGTGTTTCATTGGAGCATGAAAGATTCACCACTTAATGTAATATTGATTCTCTTTAGATAGAAACCGGCATAAAATACACTCTTGGGATTTCTTCAGTTACAGCCTTCCTTACTCAGTTTTACTCCATCAAAATTCAAGTGATTGCCACAGACTGTCTCATCTAAGAAATTGGATTATGTTCAAATTAAAATTATTTTCACTATGCTTATGTTGCTAAGAAATATGCAGTAATCATATTTGTACCACAATTTTTAGAGTAACCTCAGGAAACCACAAATGAAGACCCTTAGCATGGCCAAGAGAAAAGCTTAACCACATTTGATAGCACTATCTAAACAGACTTGACAATTCAAGAACACAGCTATTTTGATACATCTGGGCAATAAAACATTCTTAACAAAACTGGAATTGTTTTATTTCTAAGTATACCCTTGGAGGTAAGTACAGGACAAGAACTGCTGAATGGCTAGCTTCAAGAAGTATGCACGTTCATGTAATAGTCATGGGAAAATGTAAACACACATGCTTCCAGGTGAAAACCTCCAGTAAAACAAGAAGCAACCTCAAGTATGCTTGAACCTCTCATTCTCCTTAGCATCATTTACAAAGGTGGCATTTTTGTTCTGATGTCTAACATTCAGTCAGAGGTTTTAATTCAAGTTCTAAATGTGCCGGTATCATTTTGTGCCCCCTCCCCTCATACACACAAAGAAAATGCATGTACTTTTTCTATGCAGGGAGTCTGCAACTGACAGTCCAGTTAACACATCTCCTGGTGTTTGTGCTTTATAGAAGAAGGAAAGAGAGTCCTGTTATCCTGGGGCAGTGTTGCAGCTCCAGATGGAGTGTGCTCAAGAGATGTAGGAAACAATTTTTTCTCTTAGAAATACTTTTAAGTTCTTTTAAGATATATATATATATATATATATATATATATATATATATATATATGTTTTGATATATATATATGATTTTGGACTATTTCAAACCAATGTACATTTTCTTTTTGAAATATACCAGGCATGTCAAAAGTATGCAGAAATCCATGACCTTTCTTTGTTCCCAGTACAGCTAATCAAGAATTTATAAATTGGTCACAGAAATGTAGAGATAAAGACTCTGCCTGTAGCATTTTAAGGAAAACTGATTTTTCATTATTTTGTTTGTTTTTGAGTTTTCAGTCTCTACAATCTTTAAGCCTGAAGTTGTGTTGATGATTCACTGAAGTTCAATGTTGGGGAAAAAAAAATCTTAATGATGTTCTTAAAAGGCTTCTTCACCTTTCAGTCATCACGTTCTTCTTTTTCGTACTGTGAGAGGTAGGATCAGCACCAACCATAGTTAATATGATTGCAGGCTCTGAGAAACCCTTGAAAACAAGCCATTTTGGAAGAAATGGAGAAGAAAAATTTAAGCCAGCAATAAATGGAGAGGCTACCCCTAAGCTGATGGGAAACATGGAAGTGACAGGAAACACAGAACTTCATTTCCATTTGAAACCTCTTCAAAAAAGAAAAACATGGAATGGGCTATAGAGAAGCCTCAGTTAGAAGGAGCACTTGCTTTATTTGAGCAGGACCCAGGTTCACTTCCTAGTTCCTACACAGCAGCTCACACCTGCCGGTAACTCCCCTTGAAGGGGCACCAATGTCCTCTGGCCTTCTTAGACACTAAGTATCAATATGGTGCACAGAAGTTCACGCAGAAACTCACCCTCACACATAAAGATTGAAAGAAATAAATCACATAAAAGGAAAAAGAAAAAAATGGAAAGTTCTATTTGGAAAGAAAATTTATAAGAGCCATTAAAATTATTTCAACAGAAACCACTGAAAATTGTATTGTATTTACCACATCATCTTCTCAAAAGAAATACCTTAGCTAAAGATAAAAAAAATTACACTTATGTGAATATTTCACATATCCCTGTGCTTTCAAGCTTATGCTAAAAATAGAATCCTACCAGCTAATACCACATTTAACAACCAATCTATGTTTAGTAAAAAATATACAACCAGTTATTCAAAGAAGAATCTCCCAATTTTAACATTTTTATCTTCCTTCACTTTTGTGTTGTTTTTCTGTTTTAAATAAATGTAACTCATATTTTAATTGCACGTTGTCAACATTAGCGTTTATATCTCCCTTTTGAAATGCAAAAGTTAAAATCAAGTGACTAGTGCATTTTTCTCCAAAATATAAATAATTTAGGGAAGTATTAGGGTTTTACAGCTGTTTAGGAAAATCCTAGTATTTCCCAAAATAGCCCCTTGCACAAACATTTGAGAAGTTGAAATTGGATCTGCTGTAAGAGCCAGGTTGCTGCTGGTGGGCTGTGTTTTTTATGAGCCCAAATCAGAGGCAAGCGGAGCTGAGGAGAGTGAGTGACTGTTAAGTGCCACAAACCCAGCTGGGAGAGCCATGTCTCCAGCCAAGAAGGAAAGAATATTTAAATTTTTTAACTAGGTCCTTCTGGGATATTGAAATAAGCTCAGAAATACAAATCTTAATAGGCTTCTAAAACAGCATTCTCCCTGTGTATTTTTCAAGTCAACCTGGCAGCTTTTAATTCTAATTTTTGTCAATAAAATTGTTAGGGCTGTAAAGAAGAGACAAAATAATTATGCACCATCATTAGAAATGAATAGATAGTCCTGCATTGGCTTAATTTGGGTCACATTGCCAAAGGCCCCACATCAGCTACCACTTACTTGAAGTTCTTGATTCATTGTCCAAGTACACACATGCACATACAAAACAAACAAAAAAACAAAAAACTACAAGGAAAACTAGAGAGCCCTATTACAATTTTCCTTGTGGTATAACATTTGTTGATTGAAATATTAATTTGTTGTTATCTTTGATGACTCTCTGCTATCTGTCTAAGTGTGGAAACTCCTGGATTGGAGTCATCAGCACATTGACAGGATGATTTTTCTCCAATAAACCCTAGAAACATCCAGTGATAAGGGCAAGTCCCTGCAAGGAAATTAATTCCCTGCAAAGGGCTCCAGCAGGCTTTTGTTCTGACCATCTCTACACAGTCTGTGTGGCTCGAACATCTCATGTTAGTTGTCTGCGTCCATAGAGGTAACATCTTATACTGATTTTTTTTTTTTCTATGACACCTAAGGGACAACATAAAGACATCTCATGTTGTGGCTTAGTATGTTTCAAATTGTCACTACTGCCATGATCTGTTGATCAAATGATTACGAAAGTCATTCTTATTCAAAGGAAGCAGAATTGCATCTCCGGATGGAAGCCAGGCAAAGGAGAGACAGGAGAAACTGTTGCAGTGATCTCTGGAAAATGTTTTCTGTCATAA